GCAAAGATATAGAGCAGATAGAGCAGAGATTAAGGGAATGCCCAACCAATGCCTGGACCAATCAAAGACCCACCCTATGGGAGAGTGCCAACCCCAGACACTATGAACGACACAATGCTAAACTTGCAGACAGGAGGCTGTCAGAGCTGTCCTCTGAAAGGTGCTACACACCAGTGCCTCAAAACAGATGCCGAGATTCACAGCCAAACATTGGGTGATTTGTAGGGTGTCTTGTGGAAAAGTGGGAGGAAAGAGAAAAGGATCTGGAGGTGACAGGAGCTCCACAGGAAGACCAACAGAGACAACTAGCCAGGGCCCAGAGGGTCTTGCTGAGACTGAAGCATTATCCAAGGACCATGAATGAACTGGTCCTAGGACCCCTACAAAGATATAGCTGTGGGCAGCTTAGACTTCATGTGGATCCTCTAGTAAGGGGAAGTGGGGACTTAATGGGACAGAGTCACTTGACAGCCTTGTGAACATTCCCCCTGGAGAGACTGCCTTTCAGGCCACAGAGGAAGATGCAATTTGATGAACTGGGGTGGATGGAAAAGGAAAACTCCCCTTTTCTAAGGAATACATTGGTGGGGGGGGGGGGGAGAGAAGGAAGAATGGGGCTACAACCAGGATGAAAAGTGAGTAAAAAATAAACTTTACAGGAATACACTTGAAATGAGCTTGAAGGTAAACAATTCCCAACAGTCCTTGTTTATTCCCTAATATTAATGTGCCTATAGTGAGAAACAGAATTCACAAGTTCAGTCACAGAAAATTCATCCACAAGTTGATGAACAGTGCAGAGTACATTCTCAACTGGAAATTCCAGCAGCCGCCCCAACTTTCGCAGTCCACTTCCACAGAATATTCTTAGCATTTATTCTGTTACTTGGAAATCTCACCTGATGGAATGTGCTGCTCTGCCCAGAGACCCCACTGGAAACTCCACTTTGCTGCCTTAAAGGGCCTTCCACAGTCAGTTTTCTGAATGTTTTGTGCACCTGGCTTGATGATACTTTACTTTCTATCATCTGCCACTTTCTTTTTAGTCTTTTAATTTGGCTTACTGTATTAGCAGTTTGCTCTCTGTGGTAAAGACCATGGAAAAATAGCAACTTGGTGAGAGGAAAGGGTTGCTTTAGCTTACAAGTACCAATCACAGCCCATCACCAAGGGAAACCAAGACAGAAACTAAGATGACATCTTTAACAGGAAGAAAAAAAATCATCTACCTTTCACATCAATTTGTAGTTTGTCATCACAATCTCCTGATAATTACTGTAATTACTTTCCTCCTAGCATTTGTACCAACAGTTCTCAACCTATGGGTAGTAACCAGGCTGGGGCTCACCTGAGACCATTGGAAAACACACATTATAACAATAGCAAAATTAGTTACAAAGTAGCAGTAAAAAGAACTTTATTATTGAAGATTAGAACCTGAGGGTCACAGCTTTAGGAAGGTTGAGAATGACCATTCTATAAGGAAGTATCTATTTGTGCCTTAAAGTATACATACTTTTAACAGACTTTCATATTTCAGATATACTCTATTAGCAAGTTCCTTTTTGTTTGAATGACTCCATTTTGCATTTCTTCAAGGAGTCTGAAGGTGATATGTTCTTGTGGCTTGTGTGAGACTGCTTTATTTCTGAAGGTCAGCTTTATTGAGGGCAATATTCTCGGCAGGCAGGCTTTTACTCAGTACTTTTATGATTCTCTTAGTCTGCCTAGATTCTTCTATCTGGGATATGAATACAGGATATTCTTTGTAAATTGCTATTCTTTTAACTTCAGGATCTTTTGTCCTTCACCTTCATCCCATTGTTATCACCAGGTAATCCCCTCTAAATAACTTTTATGTATTTCTACAGGTTGGGAAAGCTTCCTGCAATTACCTCTTAAAATAAGATTTCTAACCCATTTTTTTTTTCCATGCTCAACTCAACAGCTTTGATAAACATTTCCTTTCTGTTGTTCCAAATTCCATTTTCTTTTCTTCCTTGTGATTGTACATCTTCCATTTACACTTAATTATTTGTATGTGTGTAGGTGCACAGAAGTGGGAGGACAACTTGAAGGAGTCGTCCTAGTTTTCTGTCAGTGTCATAAAACACTATCCAAAACGAAGTTGGAGAAATCGCAGAAACCTAGAGCGAAGCTGCATATGGGCTTGCTCTCCAGGTTCCTACCCAGCATCCTTTCTTATGTTTCCCAGGACCACCTGCAGAGGCATGTGGACTGGATCCTCCCGCATGGGTCATTAATCAAGACTTGTCCTGGAGCTCTCATCTTTCCAGATGATCTAGTTGACAAGTTGACAAAACAAAAACCTACAAGAGTTGACTCCCTGCATGTACCATAAGGTATGGCTTCGGTCATCAGTTCCAGCAGCAAGTGCTTTACACTTGTCTTTTCACTGGTCCTCAATTTTTATTTTCAAATGGGGCTTTTTTAGTTATTGAGATTTTGTTGTTGTTGCTGCTCTGTTATTTTACATTTTATTTCCAGTATTTTTACACTCCCAGGATGGTATTTAAAAAGAAAAAAAAAAGTTACTTCAATCTATTAAATTGCTCTAATTTCAAAATGACTTCCTTGAAGTTGTTTTTCAAAACAGGTGCTATGCATTCTTTGCCACTGACAGTATTTCTTTTCTTTACAATTATCTAGTAGTACCTTGGTTTATATCTGGTGCTGTTTTTCTAATTGTTCTTGATCCTATGGTTAAAATCTACCATCTGCTCACTGAAGCTGTGCTGAGTCCAACCTCTGTAGACTGACTTTTGAGAACAGCATTCAGTAGTAAGGTTCCACAGGTCTTCTGTTAAGGTCCTTTAGCTCATGACCACTAGAGCTGCAGAAGCACTCTAAACCCAGAACTTCCATGGCTGGACGTGGCACTAACGTGGAACTGATGGCCAACTGCTGAAGCATACCTGTAGCTATAGGTTACTCTGAGCCAACAGCCATTACAGTCTGTCCCCTCACTGTCACTACAGAAGAGATGTGGGGGTCTGTCCATTACTCTTATGGTGGTATGCAAGCCCAGTACTGGGTTCTAAGACCATATTCTGTGCTTGCTTCCATTTTCCCCACATGGAGACTGCATTTTCACACTCTCCTAGTTAGGATGTTGGCAAGTGTAACCTAAGTAATGCACAACTGTCTTTTTCTATTCTATTCAACTTACTACTACTATGCTACCACCAGGCTCTTTGATCTTACCTGGCTAGCTTAATCCAAGTGAAGGTATTTTCACATATAACAAATTATTTAAGTGGGTGTTCATGCTGAGGGATGGACGCTGGAGAGTCCAATTCCCATAATTCAATTTAGGCTTTGAACATGAGCTCGGAAAAGCTTAAAACTCCTTATAAACCCAATCTTCTTAAAATCCTTCAGTTGGAATGATTTTAAAGTATATAAGGAGAAATTTATTTTTAGTTGAAAAAAGGTTAACTAGAAAACTCAACAAAACCATAAGTAACCATTTCCTTGTCTCTAGGGATTAAAAGGAGATCTGCACAAAGTATGACTTGTTTCTTCATGAAAACCACTAAATTTAACTAAGAACATGATTCTCTGTTGGTCTTGCCAACTCAGGGGGCCTCTCAGACCAAAAAGACTTCTGTGCCAGGAATGGAGGAGCATACCTGTAATTCCAGTGCCCAAGAAGCTCAGGCAGGAGGATGGCCAGATGGAGGCTAGCCTAGGCTACATATAGAACTTTCTGGAAAAGACTCAAAACAACAAAACAAAAAACCCCACAGCCCCCCCCCCCACAAGAAAAATAAAAAAGGCTTATTCTCTTTTTTACAAGAGGATTTAGATGATTTGGCATACTGCTGAGTAAATCTATGATCTCAATGATAAGCAGGTTACTAGTCTGAAGTGGTTGGTTGCTCAGTGACATGAAAACAAGTGTAAGATTTCTGTAATACGAGAAACCCAGAGGAATTTGATAATCACTTCATGAAATATCTTAGGTTTACCAGACAGGCAGAGCAGAAAAATTCTCCAGGTAATTATATCCACCCTTAGCTGTCAAAGTCTTTACATATACACAAACTATAAGCAATAAAGCCAACTAAAACTCAAAAGTCATGTAAACTTACTGTATCATTTATTGCAACTTGAATTTTAAGGAATTAAATTTGGATGTCAGTTGTAAGATACCACTTTATACTGACTGATGATGAAACTGAAACATAATACAAGCTACAAAGGAAAATTGTGTAGACACTTTGAATTTTTTAAATTATTTTTTTATTTTTATTTTCTAATATTAATCACAGGTTATTTACTTTGTATCCCAGCTGTAGCCCTCTCCCTCATTCCCAACCCCACATCTTCTCCCTGTCCCTTTCCAAGTCTACTGCTAGGGGAGGTCCTCCTCCCCTTCCATCTGACCCTAGCTTATCAGGTATCATTAGGACCAGCTGCAATGTGACACTTTGAATTTTGACAGTTTAACAAAATTGTACTTACTACTATGCTACCACCAGGTTCTTTGATTTTACCCAGCTTGCATAATCTAAGTGAAGGGATTTTCACATAACAAATTATTTAAGTGGGTGTTCATGCTGAGGGATGGAAGCTGGAGAGTAAGTAATTGGGCTAAATCCTAATTGTGGTGATGATTTCACATTAAAGTCTTTGGTCTATATATTTACAATGGATAAATTTATAACATGAAAAGTACAACTCAGTGGGACTGTAAAAATGTTTTGAGTCAGGCTAGACAGCAATGTTTTCCGTATGTGTATGTATGAATATTAAGAGAATGAGGGACAAGGTATAGAGATTGAGCACATGAACATAAGCAATAGTGGAAACAGTAGAAAGCAGTAAAATTACAACAACCTGTGAGTCTAGATCAAGAATATAATATAAAGAAGCTCTGGCAACATTTTCAGTTTAAAATTGTACCAAAATTTAAGATTATTTAAAAAGGTCCCTTTAGTTATACCTATCTCCTTCAATGAAGACCATACACACCCTCAACGAGAAAACTGAATGTAATTTTAATAGTTCCTTCAAGAATGTAATCTGTGGGGTTGGGGAGGGAATGAGGGAGCGGGATACAGCTGGGACACAGAGTTAACAAAATGTAACTAAAAAGAAAAATAAAATAAACAAACAAAAAAAAAAAGAATGTAATCTGGTTGTAACACCAAATGCAATGCACTCTCTGCTCTACTGATTTGGATATGAAATTACCTATAAACCCTGTAACATGTGCAGATGGCACAAGCCTTCCACTTCTGATAAGGTGGAAGTTGAAAGACCACTTTGAAAGAAACTGAGTTTTTGGTTTCATTTTGATTTTGAGATTAAATGTAATTATGTAATTTTCAGAATATAATGTGTTGTTTACTTCATAAAAACTTCTGAAATAAATTTCATCAGACAGTAATATCTGAAAGAAAATGGGTATGCATGCAGCATTTTTAAAACATTGCAATCATTTAAATTCTGATTAGCTTTATATTTACAATTCAAATAACTTCTTTTAAAGGCCATTTTACACAGTCAAGAACATGATTATGCACATCTTACTGGCATCTCCACTGATATAAGTGGAAATGACTTACCAAAGAGAAATGTTACTATCAGGAAATGACAGCTTTTTAATTATTTTAGCTTGCAAATTAAAAAATACTTACCAGTAGATAAAGGCACAATTTTTACTCACATTGAGTAATTAACCACAAAATGACTACTTACTTTCAACATCATTAATTGCCATTTTTCAAACAATGTCTTTAATCCTGACAGCTCTTTATTGATTATCTTTTCATGTACTTGCTATGGTTTACTAATCTCCAATGGGTGTCATCACAGGAATAACCAAAATCATATAATGTGACAGATAATTGACAAAGTGTTTCACATCCTTCAGTTATATATACCAAGTCAAGAGTGGGAGTTGAAGAGTGTTGCAAAAGGAAACTGCAGGACTACGTATATTCTTGTAATAAAACCAGCAATATCAAGAGTTATCATCTCACTTCCAATTTCTTCCCCTCAAGAACAATTTGAATCTCTTTGGCATCCAAAGTCTCATAGGTCAACAATGCTTCTGCTAGATTCTTATGTTCTTTTGCATGAGTTTTCAAGATATGTTTTGCTCGTTCATATGACTCCTGAAAAATAAAAGCAATTCATAGAAGAAAATGTAGGAATGCAAAAAACATAGGTAAAAAGAAAATAAAACCAATGTGGCTTAAAATATCTGTTGAGTTATATAACAATAAAGGAGTTTAAAAAAATGTTTCAAAAAAAAAAAACCTGTCTTTCCAAAATGTTCACTTTCTTTGTTCTAACTAAGAAGGCATTTCTTTCTTCACCCTCCAGCAGCTAATGAAAGTGTGGCTGTCTCCTTTGAAAACTGCTTTCCTGAAATTCTTACTCTTTTCCCAGATACTTCTCTCTTCTCATCATCATTTCCAGATTAACAGTAACCTAACTCTTGCAGAAAGCACTACTCCTCTGAAGGCCAAACTATTTGAATACACTGGCTACCGGAGCCCCTTTAAAAGCCATTTTGTTAATACTGATTACGTTCCTCATTCAACATAATGTTGATACTGATTCAATTCCTCATTCAGCCAGATCTTTTCTTCATTCTAAAAGCTACCTTAAGTTATGGGCAACTTCAGTATCTAATACATAAGCAACCTTTCTAATTAGCTCCAGACAGACATACCTATTTCTAACCTAAAATCTTTATTATGATGTCCAAATTCAGTAACTTCTTATTAGACAAAAAACAATCTGCCTACATCAACAGTTTACATCCCACTTTGGTCTCCAAGTTCTTCAGTTAATGGCATAAACAATATAGTTACCAGAGGCAAAATTCTGGAATATGGTTTCAGCTGCTTTTAACTTTCACAACTGATATATAATGTTTTACGTCTATATCTTTTTTATGTTTTATTTATTTATTTGAGGCTAATATCAAAAAATGTACTGTGCAGCCAAGGATGAGCCTGAACTTGTAATCCTCTTGACTCCACCTTCCAAGAGCTAAGAGTAGAGGCATGTGCTACCAGGTCTAGTTTTCTAGGGTGTGGGAAATTGAACCAAGTACTTTGTACATACTAGGCAATCACTACCAACAGAACCACATCCCTAAATCTCATTAGTATCTCTTGAGCACACTCAGTACTTCTTCATCTGCTATATTTTATAGGGTAAAATTTAGAAACATTGTTATCATTACTCGTTTGTTTGCAGTGCTAGGAACTAAATACCCAGACATTTTATAAGCTAGGCAAGCACTTTCTAATGAACTATTACTTTTAAATGCTAATCACTTAATTATTAATTTATAATTTATAATGATCATTTAAAATTATAATTAGCATTTAATTATCATTTTATTATCTTTTAAAAAATACTTAGGCACATTTTATATTAAAAATAAAATAATAATAATAATAATCAAGCTCAGAAAAATATTACCCGTAGAAGGATTCTTATTTCTTGTTCAATGGCAGATTGAGTTTCAGGACTTAGTTTTCCTGTGTCACTGTAGGTCATAACTCCAAGCTAATGTCAAACAGAATAAAGTAATTGAACAAATTACTATCAGGAAATTCAGCAAGTAAATTCAAGTAAGTACAAGCCTACATATAAGCAAAATTTAGGTGTGGCAGTGGGGGACAAAAATGCAACATAAAAAATGTTGAGTGCCAGCACTCTGAGAGGCAGAAAAGCAGGTAGATCTCTTTGTGATTTCGAGGCCAGGCTGGTTTACAAAGTGAGTCCAGGCCAGCCAAGGCTACACAGAGAAATTCTGTCATGAAAAACAAAAACAAACACACAAACAGAAAAAGGTGAGTGCAATCAAATAACATTTTTTGGAAACCATAAAGACAAATCAAAACAGCAAATGTGAGTATGATATAAAAATGTAAGTCTAAGCGCCTTCTCAGAAAATCCTGGCAGCTCCCCTGTATCTACAAATTCATGGTCCACGTGCCTCATAGGTTGCAATGATAATGTAGGAATGTAAAATACTGAAAATGTAAAATAATAAGGTCCGAAAGAGTAGCTAAATAAATTATCACTTTATTAGTTCATGATGTTGAAGCAGAAAAAAGTTGTATTACTGGTCAGATTAATGCTCAGAAAAAGTCTCAAATGAATTAGGAATCAGACAAGGAAAAAATGTTATCAACTCATAAATCTATCAAAAGAACCACTACCTTTTCACTCATTCCAAATTTGGTAACCATCCTCTTTGCAATTTTTGTCGCATTATCAAAATCACTAGAAGCACCTAGATTAAAAATAAACATAACTTGAAAATATCTTTAAAAGAATAATTATAAGTTTAAAGAAAATACTCTATCAAAAACCAACCTGTTGTTATATGATCAGTTCCAAATATGAGCTCCTCTGCAACTCTTCCTCCCATACTAACATCCATTTGTGCAAGGAGCTGGGATCTAGTTTCATTCCATCTGTCATTCTCAGGCAACAGTGAGACCTACACAATTTAATAAGCACGTAGTAACAAAGAAAACACATTCAGACACACTTCTGTCTGGCTCCCCCCCCCCCCTTTTTTTTTTAGAGACAAGATTTGTGTAGTCTTGGCTGTCCTGAACTCTTTTGTAGACCAGGCTGGCCTCGAACTCAAGAGATCCACCTACCTCTGCCTCCCTGAGTGCTGGGTTTACAGGCATGCACCAACATGCCTGGCTACCAGACACACTTTTGAAATAGTTACATTCATAACCAAAGTTATTTAATTGTTTTCCATAGACAGTAATCAGGATAATAATTCTGAAAGTCAAGAGATTTGATAAGGATAAGACATGATCACCAGGTAACTTAATGACAAAAGCAACATGAAAAACAAAATCTTCTATAAAAATGCATCTTACAAATAATAGGTACATAATGCTGCAACAGGATTTCTTTCCAACTGCACAAAAATATATTAGCACAGTTAAGTACAAGCCTATATATAATTTCAAGATTGACACATATACTAAGAAATATCTTAGAACTATGTAAGCAGCCACTATCTGTGTCTTTTTGCCTTATTTACATGTTTATAAATTATATTCTATACCCACTCTTCAACTGGTGTAGACATGTAACACCTGAAATATGAAACTACTCTGACAGAAACTTATAGCAAATGGATCTTAGTTTAATGTTGTTCAGGAAATCAAAAGGGATAAAAATCATCAGGAAGTTGCAATCTCCTATATAAGCTTCCAGAAAGCCATATTTGAAAGTGAATTTTTAAACAAGAAAAAGAAGTATAGAAGGCAAGGTGGCTCAAACCTGTGTTCCCAGGACTTGTAAAGGTGAAGCAAGAGGATTATCACAAGTTCCAGGCAAATCCAGGCTACACAGAGAATTCTAGGCCACTCTGAACTACAAAATGAGAAGTGAGACCCAGTCTCAAAGCAAACAAACAAATCAACTCCACAAAAATAAAAGAGAACATAGTTCAGTGGTGAGAGCTTGAGTTACATGTGTGGGTCTCTGAGTTCAAACCACAGTATAAGAGGCGGAAGTGAGGAAGGTCTACAGGGAACTTACATGTCCAAGTGTTGGCCCTCGTGGCATGATTGTCGCTTTATTGATTGGCATTGCATCCTTTGTGTAATATGCAATAATAGCGTGACCAGATTCATGATAGGCCGTTATAGTTTTGTTTTTGTTATCAATTTCCACACTTCTTCTTTCTGGTCCTAAGAGAAGTAACATACTACATTATGATCGCATATTTAACTGGTAAGTGTGGCAGACTATAATCCCAACACTCTAGAGGCAAGAGTTCCATGTTAGATCATGATTCACTGTGATAAGAAGGAAGACATGCACATAAACATACACAGAGAGAGACAGAGAGAGAGAAAATGTGTGAGCATGCATTATGAAGGATGGAGGAATGGCGGTCAGAGGTTGAGGCAGAATGACTACCAGAAGTTCACAGCCAACCCGAGGAACATAGTGGAAGTGAGGGACAGCTGACCAGCTTGGATTATAGAATGAAAGCCAGTCTCTAAATAAAAAGATAAGGAAGGGTAAAAACAAAGAAAAAGGTGAACTGCAGAACAGGATATAAAGAAGGAAGACATACCCATTAGAATTTTATCCTTAGAAAACTCTAGTTCCTTCATGGTAACCATTTCTTTTCCATCAACTGCTGCCTTTAATGCAGCTTGGTTCACAAGATTCTCCAACTCTGCACCAGAAAACCCAACAGTACCTCTAGCTATGATTTCTGGATCAACAGCTATGAAAAAAGAGAACATAATAAATCTCCATTACTAAATAGAAGCACTTTAAATTAAACCCACATTTTGAAGGTAAAAGGAATACAATTAACTCTAAATTGCAACTTAAAACATATCTTAAAACTAAAAGTGAATTTAATCAAACTTAAACCATCAAAATATGCCATTTTAAGTTAATATTACTAGTTACTATCAATTAGTAATAATGAATATTGTTAATAATAATAAATTATTATTTTAACAATGAAACTTCAAGAAAAGGCCTGACTTTTATTAGCTTTCTGAAAACAAAACAGAGAAAGTAGAGTTGCTGGAAATGAAATTAGATACTTCAAATATGACCTAAGCTGGCCTGGAAAGGGAGCCTAGCAGTTAAAGAGCACCAACTCCTCTTGCAGAGGACCCAGATTCAGTTCCCAGCATTCACAGGGCAGCTCCTCTTCTGGCCTCTACTGGTACTGCACACGTGGTATAAATACATGTAGACAAAATAGTTATACATATACAAAGATAAAATATCTTAAATATCTCCTACATTATGTCTAGCCCAGCCACAAATTCAAAGAGCAAGCTCACAGTCCAAACTCTTTTCTATTAAATTTCCCCTTGAAATACCCTGGTCCCTTCTTATAAAGAGATATACTGGAAAATACTGCAGCTTATACTACTGTCACTTATGTTCAAGTATCCGTTATGTCCATATGTCTTGTTTTATATTCTGCTTTCCTCCTAAACTGAGCCAATTTTTTTGGATTTTATATTTTTATTTAAAATCTATACATACATCTTCATATATACATATGCCTGTCTACACACTCCAAACAATCACGATTCAGGAATAAAATATCCTAGATACACACAAACTGAACAATACATATATGTGTATAAAGAGGACCAAAAAGTTAACTAGTCTGAGACATAAACCAGATATGGACAATAGGATGGTTAGGTATATTTCCAGTTTCCAGAAATAACAATGCTTGAATTAAGGAATAGGACTCACACTTATCAAACTTTATTTTATTGAGATACCATTTCAAAATTTCAGTCCGACCCTTCACATCTGGCCTTGGAACTGTAACCTGCATGTCAAAACGACCAGGACGTATTAAGGCACTAAGAAAAAAATAAAAAGGATACATATAAATCAATAAGCTGAAGATGCTAGCACATGCTAAATATGTGATGGAAAAACAATGATAACCGCAGATAAGAAAAAATTCCGAATGTTTGTACAGTTCCCTCAGAAGCACGAAGATGTTCAGTTTCACAGGAACTGCACACCCACAGTCCCAGACCAACCTGTACCATGTACTGTAACCTGGTGTGAAATATTAACAAACATAAGGTAGACAAAAAGGTTCACTTATATATATGCGTGCAACTAAGGTGGCATTATTTCTCTTCTTCCTCCCTATTTTGAGTCCACCTTCCCTTTTCCCATTTCCCACTTCAGATTTTCCTCTCTATTGCACCTGTGCCCCTTCCCCAATGGCTCTTTTATATTTCCTGGTTTGTTCAGTTATTCCAGGTTATATACTCACACCTGAAGCTTTGGAGCTGGATGCATGGATTCTATGCCCGTCTACCACCGACTTTTTTTTTTCTTGACTAATGAAATGTAGTCTTTTGGGGGCAGGGCCTCTACATAGCCCCAACAGTTCTTGAACTATGTAGCCCAGGCGGGCCTCAAACTCATATAGAGATCTGCCCGTCTCTTCCTCCAAAATGCTGAGAATAATTGTGTGTTGTAAGATGTCCAGCATATTTTAACTGTCTACCTAAAAATATCTATACTATATGTAATTCACTGCGTGTGTGTGTAAAACATCTAACAAAAAACCAAGAGCAGGCAAGAGTCTGTTGGTCAGTGTTGTCCAAGAGACTCCTACAACATTAAAGGCTATAGCTATTGTTTTTGTCTACCCCATTAGTGAAAAGTTAAGTTTATATGGATGAAAGCACATGTACTTCAGACCCAAGACACAGAAACTTCTGAGCCAGAACTGATCTGAATGCCTCTTCTCTGAAGACTAGTTTTCATATTAGAAGGCACCATGCAAGCTTTCAAAAGAAAAGCAACCAACAGTCCTACCCAACTATGATACCTATGAACCACAATAATGACCAACATGGCAAGATAACCCTAACAGTTCAGCAGTGGTATGCATACTTTGGTGATAACCAATAGCTCTGTAATTGCACTTAAAACCCACTCAACAAGGGAAATCATACTGGTACTAGATACCTAGCCAGCTACCCAGGGCTATTAAAGGATCTTAGAGGAGAATCTACAACTGCTATTTTACTAAACCAGCACAATCCCTAACTACATTCTAAATATTTGTCCTTATATCCACAGATAAGTATAGTCTTCATCAAGGAAACTTCTCTCTGCAACTGACAGAGACCATTATAAAAAACTACACCTGATCAAAATGCAGAGTTGTGGAGCCCAGTCCCAAAAGATGGGATCGGAAGATTGTGAGAGCCAGAGGACCAGAACGCTCGGTATAAAACTGTGTATACTACAACATCAGGAGCTATACTCACTGTGTCTCACCAACACGGCTGCCTAAACATGGCCTCAAAAAAGGTGATGCCATGTTATACTAACACGAAGGGTGAAAGTTCATGATGTCTCAACTCTAGACAAAGATCTACAGGTAAGTAAAAAATGCTCACAGAACAAGTGTTTCCCAGGGAGAAGTATATTAAACAGTCAGCCCAAAAAACATCCACACACAAGTTACACTATATACACTAAGCGGATGCACTTATGTAGTTAGGAACACACACACACCCCAAAAGCTAAAGAAAAAAGGCAAGGAATTTAGAAAAGAGTCTGCCTTTTTTTTTTTTTTTTTTGGGGGGGGAATACATGGGAGGACTTTAAGGAAAAGAAGAGGGGGGAGAAATGATGTAATTATATTATGACCTCAAAAATAAAACAATCATTTAAAAAACACACACTCTCTTCTTAATTGCTAGAGTGCTAGACCGCTGGGCCCAATCCTCTAAGGTTGGAGTTATCGCCGGCTGTAAGCTAGAGGGCCTGGGTGATAGGAGCCACACTCAGCTCCACTGCAAGGACAGTATGTGTTCTGAACCACTGAGCCAGCTCCAGATCCACTCCCACAGAAACTTCT